GAGATAAAGCTGTATTTTGCGAAAACGGCCGGAAACGACGTCGATTTTTCAAGGCGCTACTCATAGGGCTGGCCTTGTGCTTACAAATCCGCCTCTCCCGGCCATTGAAGTGCTGCCCTCTACCCTTGCGGATCCTGCAACACACACTTGATCCTCTTCGAGATATGTGGGTTAGCACAGAAACATAAATGCTGATCTGTTTGAAGGTGGAATACTGACATTCGAAAGAACTTTCCTTCACACAAGTGCTATGAATCACAGTCCATTTTTTATGGAAAGCTTAGCACAGTATTGAGCTGCTGGTTATTGTGTTCTGGTTATTGTGCTAAGAGGGTTTTTTGCTGCGCTGGCACCAAGTGGAGTTGTCGATTGCTCTTTGTGTACTCATGCATACTGTTACTCTTCACGAAATGTCCGGATCCCATTTGTCACAACTTCATCGGTAATAATTGTTACGGGGACTAGATTATCCATACGACGATGGGGTTCCATTAACACATTGACGACATCATGACGCGCATGCGCGTCAGATTTTCGCGCAAATGGGTATGGTCTGGCTCAATTTACTTGGTATTCTTTACGTTAGAAAGTTATTGTCCACATAATTGGGTCCAGAAAATACTGTCCCCATACCAGTAATGAAATTATTGAAAGAGTAGTTCTGGATTCGCAGAAATATCAAAAATTATTCCACGGAGCTCGCCCAACAGCGTATGTATTAAAAAAGGTCTATTTAAACGATTACTTCTTGAGCATCCCAGACCTAATTTAGTTATGGCTTAGTAAGCTACACGCTTCGTATCAGTCTCCTTTCCGTTTGACAACGTAGCATTTCAATCTTCTCTTTTGCTTCAGTGCTACGAAAGTTGAGTCTAAAATGTTCTGTTTTCATGAACATCGGAGACTCCCTGTTCGAATGCCGTGGTAAGAAACACGTATAATATTTGCTTTTAAATTGTCCCGTGTTTTCTTCTGCTAACCAAACATGTACATTTCTTAAGCGCTCATGGTTGGCCGCGAAGCAAGTGAAATGAGAAAAAACCAACTGATTGACTCGGCTAGTTGTGCTTGAATTCACAATCAAAACAGGTTTCAGGAATTCGCTTGTCCCACAGTCACATGCGAGTTGTTTTCAGTTACAAAACCGAGGGGTAAAATAGTACTTGTCAATCGGGCTTTGACACTGCACCCTTCCTAGTCGATCGAGGGGAAACTGGGAATGGGTCACCATGCAGCTCTAATAAAAGTCCCACTGTCATCCAACCTTCACCACCCGTTCCCAAAGCGTCGAAGTTCAGGAACAATATCAACTTAATTCAAAGTTAGGTCAAAACACGAACAAATAATGTATGCGGTAGAGTCTTTTCAATAATAATTATGAGGAAGTAGGTAACGCTTCCCAAAGCAA